TAACCGGAAAGAAGACTATTGCAATAATCCAGGACCCAGATTCAAACTCACGTTCTCTGAGAACAAATATAACATTCTTTTCACAACAGTCACACAGCAAAGAGTATTATCAGTGTGGATTCCACCAAAACAGATTTCCAACCCCTCTATATATTGCTGGATAATCTTCATGAGCTCCAGTGGTTGAAAAATTTAGCACCCTTTGGCCAACCTGATAATAAACATCTCTGACCTGAGCTAGGCTAGTTCTGAGATGACAAGCATATAGTCCATCACCTGACCTGTACTCAAAGTTGGTAAAATTTGTGTTCTAATATACAGCTTTCAAGTACCCATTCTAATAAATTCCTGAAGATTAAAAAAAAAAAACCACACACATCTATATGCAACATGATAACCCATGTGTGCTATCTCACCTTACAGAACAGTGAGCTCCTATAGCCTCAGGGATTAGCACAGCGTATGAACATAATACTTACTAAGTGTTTGTCGATTTGACATAATTGACCTCTCTATGCCTTCATTTCCAAATCAAGAGGGAAAAGGGCGGTTGTCATAAAAAATTAGTATTATTATTAGCAAATATACTATATCATCTTCACAATCACTATCACAAATATTCATATATTATATTTCTTTCCGGGTGAACTTCCATTCACCACTCATCAATCAATCAACAAGTATTATTAAGCACCTACTATGTACTAAGCACAGGAGATAAAAGCTTGCAGTCTACCAAGGGAAAAAATAAGTGCACGTAAAAATATATGCCATATAAAAACAAAGTGAATAAATACAAATATATATAAAAGAGCAAAAGACAGGGTAGTTCAGGAGGGAGGGCACTAGCAGGTGGGACCGGGGTCAGGAAAGGCTCCATGCAAAAGATGATATTTGAGCTTCACCCTGAAAGAAGGAAGGAGTTGGGGGGAGTTCATACCAAGCACATGGGACAGCCAGTGCCAAGACAAGGAGACTGAAGATGGTGAAGAACTGAGAGAAGGCCAGTTTGGCTGGATCTCAGAGGAGGGAAGATGGAGCAGTGTTCAACGAAGCTGTAAAGAGGCCACATTACCTAGGGCTTTAAGACCTAAACAGAAGAGTTTCTATTTTCTCCTAAGGGCAAGAAGAAGTTACTGTGAGAGATGACCTCTCAGAAGTGAAGCCTCCTCAAAGCGTCAATAATTCTTGTTAATAGTTGTTGTATTGTTTTCAAAACCCTCCCCTCTCAGACCCTGTTTTTAAGCATGTAGCAGAAAGAACAGCCCTACCCCCAACCTGAACTGCTTGCTAGGAAGTTAAGAAACATATGACAACAGAATTACAGTGTCTAGCAATGTATACAGACTTCTAAATCCACAGTCAGCTCCCTCTCTGATGCTTCATTGTCTTTTCTGAGATCAAGATTTGTTTTAATAACTACTTAGAATTTAGTTGTCTCTTAGTGTTCTATTTACGTTGTTGGGTTCAATCTGTTCTCTTGGTAATATTGTTGTGATCAATCTGTATGTTGTTCTCTTAGCACTTTTCCTTCTGCAGGAGTTCATACAGATCTTTCTATGATTCTCAACCTGTGTACTAGATTTCCGTGAATAGACTGTGCCCCCTGAAAGCCCAGCCGATGAGATAAGGGGAAGGTGGTTAGGGAGGAGGAGCTCGAGTTAGGGTATAAATAAGCCTTGATTTGTGTAACAAATTCATACTCTCCTGGCCTGCAATGGCGACTAGGGACAGTACCCTTTCTCATGAGAAAGCCATAAACTCCTTTCTGCTTTCAAGCTAAGTCTTTGTTTTGATTTTGCTGTCCCACATGTTACTGAAGTGATTGAGTAGGGGAGTCACATAGGTCAGATCAGTCTTAAGGAAAATTACTTGGACAGCAGTACATGGATTGAAGTGGTGAGAGACTTGAGGCAGGGTGATAAAGGGGGAAGAATACTGCAATATCTAGAGGAGAGGGGAGGAGACCCTAAAGTTTGGGTGTGGCCCTTTGGCTGAGTGCAAGTTTTACAGAACAAATCCTTTTATTAAGGGGATTTGTTCTGTGAAGTTTGGATTCAGTCAGAGGGCCACACTTGAGGACCTAGAGGGCATAAACTAAGGTAGTAATTGGGTGAGTAGAAAGAAAGAGTTAGATATAAGAGATGTAAAATTAGTATGTGGAAGTTTCTCAACCTCGGTTCCTTGAAAGCCCAAAGGGAGAGTCTCAAGCAACAGCAAGTCTGAATGTAATAATAATATATATTAATATAAAAAACAATAGAATACAATACAATATATAAATATAATATAATAACAATATAAATAAAATAAAGTGAGCAGCCAAAGTAAAACGATACTTATTAGTGCACCAAGGATGACTGCTCACTGGGAGCAGCTGACCCTTCTTAGGGTAGCAACTGGGTTTCACAGCTTACTAGACTTGCTTTGAGTACAGAGCTAATCTGCAGCCTTCTGAAGCAGAAAAGAAATGAGACCAAGCGTACAGACTTTGGAATCAAAGGAGTTAATAAAAGTCATATTTGTTCTTGTGGAAAAGAATTTTTTTTTCCTGTGGTTAGTCTTTTCAGAATTCCCTGTGTTGGCAGGAAATCTCTAAGATGGAGGAAATCTTCTCCAAAAATAAAATCATTCTTGTTAATCATGTTGTTGCCAATAAGTAAAGTACAAACAAAATAGCTCTTTTTCCTTGGCCTGAAGGGTTACTTTACCTAGGGGAAAAATGCTTCCCCCAAACTCAGAGTACTCACATTCATCCTCCCTCTCCAAGGTAGAAAAGACAAGTTTTAATAACTGATTGGATATAAGGGTGGAGAGGGAAGAATCTGAAATGATGCCAAGATCATGAACTAGAGACACTGACGGTGCCTTCAACAGAAATAGAGAAAACTGGGAGAGGGGAGGGTTTGGGAGTAAAGATAAGCTCTATTTTGAACATGAGATTAAGATGTTTCTGATCATACAATTGTAAATGTCTAACAGGCAACTGGTGATGAGAGACCAGTCTCTCAAAGCTGAGAGGGGAAACTAGGGTTGGATATATACACACATATACATAAATGTATACACACATAAATAAGTATACATGTATTGATCTGTGAGTCATAGAAATGATAGATTACTGAGAATGTGGAAGGAAAACAGAACAGGGCCTAAGTCAGAAAAGTGTGAGCAAACTAAGAAGGATGTGGTCAGACAGGTGAGAGAACCTGGAGAGAGCTTCCCTCTGCCCTGTCCCTCAAAGCTCTCTCACAATTTGCACATCAGCCCACTGAGAAGAGCTGTCAAGGCCCCCAACCTTCTGGATGCCCCCCATTACTGAATTAATAACCACCAAGGTCCAACTGAAGTAGCAAAGTACAGAGAGAGAGAGAGAGAGAGAGAGAGAGAGAGAGAGAGAGAGAGAGAGAGAGAGAAGGCAGTATGTGCCAGGCAAGTCCAACTACCATCACCTTGACCACCATATCCCTTCAGACTCCAATGGAGACAACCCAGGACCCTGAACCCAATAGCCTTGGGAACAGCAGTGTTCTCCAAACCATCAGACCTGCTTCCAGCCCAACCCCTGCACTTATTGAGGTGAGAAATCATTTCGAGGAAAGGGCCCACTTTCCTCATTACCACCAGCCACTACTACTGACCAACAGACAGATAAGCACAAGAGCCCTGGGAATGACAACACCCCTAAGACCACTTGTGTTGCTTCTAGTCTGGCCCTCATAGCCATCATCCAGAAAAAGCAAATTCTACCTGGAAGGGGTCAACCACCCCCCACCAACAGCCAAATGTCACACTGCTATCACAGGGCAGGTAAGGCAATATATAGCTGAAGCTGCAATGCAATGAGGGAGAGACAGGAGGCAAGTTAAACCACCACATCACCTTGATTATTATCTCTCCTTAGACTCCAATGGAGACAACCCAAGACCCTGAACACAACAGTCTTTGGAATAACAAAATTTCCCGCACAGTGCCTACCATCATCCTGGGAGGCACCCCCTAGAGAGATGCAGCCTGGCAATTGCAACAGACATCGCTACTAAAGACCCAGAAAAAAAAATAGTTCTTGCCACCAAAGTGTTTGGCATTGTCAAAAGGCTCAACATCAGAAAATGATTTGATTTTATCACGAGAAATAACATAAAAAAAAGCATCATCATCTGCTTTGCAAGGGGCTTTTTCCATCTGACTTGCAGCTGAAAATTTCCAAATGTGCTGTCTTTCCCCATCACAATTCAAGTTGCTGGAGAGCAAGAACTGTCTTTTGTTTGTAAATCCTTTCCCCCAAAAGCTTAGCAGTGTTTTACACACAGTAAGCATTTAATAAATGCATATACCTTTCACTGTTCCACAGACGACTCTCATCAGCATCAATGAAAGGTGATTCCACTGCTGGAATTCCACATACTATTGAAATCACAGGTCAGATGAAAATAAAAATCCCATATGAATAATTCATTCGAAGGTAAACACTGCATACTGTTTATATAGGCACAGGCACAGGCAGAGATACACGTGTGTATAGACATATGTATACAAAAAGCGTAAGCACATGTATATACTTATACAGGTGGATAAATGTGTGCATATGTGTGTCTATACCTATACACACATACAAGGTTTCCCAAAAATCTCAGTGCAGTTTTAAACTTTACTTAAAAGTTCTGTAAGTTTTACCTAATCGAACCAAAACTTTTGGGAAACTCTGTATATGTGTTATGTGTGCACGCATGTGTATGCATACATGTAGCATACATGTGTGTAGTCCAATGTTTCTCAGGACACAAAATGCCAGGAGTAGCTGTGCCTCTAGCATACATCGGAGAAAGAGGCAGCCGGTACTTTCTGGGACCCCACCTCTCCAGCCACACGTGGGTCAGGTCAGACAGGGGCCGACACCCCCCAGACCCTTCCTAGCAGGGAAGGTGGGGGAGACGACCCCTCCCCTCCCCCGACTCCCTCAAACCCAAGCCTGGGATCCATGCCGGGAGGGGAAGTACCTGGTCATAAGGAGCTTTCTCCAGCACCTGCGTGCAGAGATCAGCGCACTGCTGGAATTTCCTGCGCCTGAAGTAGCTCCAGGCCAGGAGCAGCGGCTCCATCTCAATGCTCCCCATGGCTGGCCCCTGGGAGCGTCCACTCCTGCCCAGCAACGCCAGGCAGAGGGGGGGGTGCCTCAGAGAGAGTGGCAATCCACACTGCGCCTGAATGAAAAGAAAACGAAACAACAAGCCCCGCCTGCCTATTTCGACCAAACCTTGGGTGAATTCGGGTAATAACAGAGTACATGGGCGCTCGTAGAAGCGCTTCTTAAAAGTGTTTGGAAGGGCCTGAGGCTGGAGTGAATCAGGGAGGCAGTAACTTAGACACCTCTTTTTTTTCCCTGGGCGGTAGCAGAGGCGCGGTTGCTTAGCAACGTCAGGAACGCTCTTCAAGCGAGGGGAAGAAAAGGGCCCCAGCTGGGCTCGCCAGGGTCCTTCCCAGGGTGCATGCGTGATGTGCATGCTGGCCCTGCTGCCACGCTAGTTCTTCTTTTGCTATGCATCCTTTTCCTTCACCTCGTCGTGCGCCTTCCTACGCACTGAGCAACCCTGCTCGTTGTGGGCCCTTTCTTCCACCAGGCGCCTTACTGTACACCGTAAATGTGTACAAAACACACTGATAAATTATTCTGGAGTTGACACTCCATTACAACACAGTTAGTGTAAGTCAGAAGCAGGATTTGATGCCCAGGTTTTCCTGGCTTTGAGGCTGCTTTACTACATCACATTGCTTCTCCTTTACAGTCAAACTTTTAGAAAAAGGTGTCTGCATTCATTGCTTCCACATTCTTGACTCCTAATAGAAACCTTTTGGAATCTGGCTTCCATCCATGCCGCTGAAATGAAAATGATGTATCCAAGGTCAGTTTCCTTGTTGCTAAATCCAATAGCCTCTTGTCAATCCTCATTTCTCTTGATCTTTTTGCAGCATCTGATACTGGAAATTTTCTCCTCCATGTGTTTTCATAATACTGTACTATCCTGGTTCTCTTCCTAGCCATTGGACCAAGCCTGGATGTCCTTTTCAGAACTATCACTATGTTCCACTACCAATGTGTGGGTGTATTCCTGGGTTCTCCTGGTTCTTCTCTTCTCTCATTACATCCTTTCTTGGTGATCATATCCTATCTCATGGATTCAATTATCATTGCTACCCAGGCTTCATCTTTATCTTGGGCAGTAGGCCTGAGTCTCCGAATGTCTACTGGACATCCCCACTTGGATTTCCCACTAACATCTCAAACTCACAGTGTCCAAAAGAGAACTTATTATTTCCTCTAAATCTGCCTCTTCTGTTGTCATTATTGTTGGTGCTATCATCATTCTTCTAGTCACCAGGATTCAAAATTTTGGAATCATCCTAAACTTCTCATTTTCTGTCACCCCGCATATCTAACCAATGCCAACTCTTATTGATTCTACTACCTCCACAACACCTCTCACATCCATCCCCTTCTCTCCATTCATCTTACAATCATACTGATTCAGCCCCTCATCACCTATCCCTTGGATAATCAGAATAGCCTCCTTATTGTTGTCCCTGTCTCAAGTCTCTCCCCTCTCCAATCCATTCTCCATATAGCTGCCAGTTTTGTATTTGTAAAGCAAAGTCCTAACTATGCCTTTCTCTGCTCAAAAAGCTTCAGAAGCTCCCCAGTTCCTCCAGGATAAAATGAAAACTCTCTTTGGCATTTTAATCTTTTTACAAGATAGCTCCAGCCTATCTTTCCAGGTTGGTGTGGCAGGAACAACATCCACAATACTTCAATACTTCTCCCTTTGAAGGCAAGAAAACTATCCTTGAGACTTACCTGGTTTAAGAGACAAAAGCTTAAACTATGGACATGGTTTCTTGATCCCATAAAACATTAAAAACCACCAACACACAAGGAGTCAGGTCTTCCCAGACTGGATGGATATTCCATTGTGTGAGTCACCCTACCCTTGGGTCAGACTGCTTCCACATAAAGATGGCTGTAGTTGTATCTACACAAACCACTGCTGTATCTTTGTTGGGGTCGAGCAGTTGTTCAGCAAATACTTATTAATCACCTACTATGGTGGGATAAGGGCTGAAGATACTAAAAAGGTAAAAAGACAGTACCAGTTCTCAAGGAGCTCCCAACCTAGTAACGAAGGCAACCTGCAAACAGCTATGTACTAATAAGATCTATTCATAATAAATTGGAGATAATCAACAGAGGGAAGACACTAGAATTAAGGAGAAACGTAAAGGCTTTTTTGTAAGAGGTAGAATTTTAGCTGGGACTTGAAGTTCCATCCTACTGCAAGTAAATTTCTTTTAATTAAATATCAGTTGGTCAAATTGTTTCATTTTACTCTGGGCCTGAATTTAATCCTGATCTACGGCAGCTAATTACGCATTTTACCCCTTGCATTCTATGCACTGTGAATGCCAGCTAAGTTGTCCTATTTGCTGTCTCCTGTACAAAAGATACCATTGCTAGACTGTAAGCCTGGAAGCTTTCCTTCCTTACTTTTGTCTCTTGAAACATTTAGCTACCTTCAAGGCTCAGCTCAAATGTCAGCTCTGTGAAGAAGTCCTTCCTCTTGGTGCAAATCACTTTGTATTTAGTTTATCTGTACCAACAATCATTTATTTGTGAACATGCTATACCCAGCCAATAGAATGTAAATTCCTTGAGGGCAGGGACTTTCTGTCTCACTTGTGTATTTGTAGTCCCAAAACCTAACATAATGCCTAGCACTTAGAAGGTACTTAATAAATGTCTTTTAATTAATCTATGATTTCATTCTGCCTTTGTGATTCTGTGGGAATAAGCACATAAAGAATTGTCATATTCATGAGGTACATGACAAGGAGGAATGCCTTTTTGGAGTGATGAACAAAAGGGTATCCTGAAAGTCCCATGAAAGGGCAGCTAGGTGGCACAATGGATAGAGCACTGGCCCTGAAGTCAGGAGGACCTGAGTTCAAATCCAGCCTCAGACCAAACACTTGACACTTACTAGCTGTGTGACTCTGGGCAAGTCACTTAACCTCAATTGCCTTAAAAAAAAAAAGGCCCATGAGCAGAGAGGCTTCAATTTAGGGGACCTACTTGGAAGAAAAAGAGTTTCAGCATACTGTGTACATAGGATGAGAGAACTCTCAGATTTCTTGGGGCACATAGAGAATTTCCTAATAGGAAAGATATCAAACAAGGCAGTAGATAAACTGTATACTCTCATTGTCTCCTCTGCCTGATTACAGTTTATTTTAGAGATCATAAGTTGAGAAAATTGTATGAGATCCATTCCAACTTTTAACCAATCATACTATGATTTAGGTAATAATATAGTGGACAATTTTCTGTATTTGCAGTGAGGAAGATGTGAATTCACATCCCATCTCAGTTATAGAACCTTGGCCAAATCACTAAACCACTTTCAACTTCATCTATAAAATGGGATAATAATGTTGTTGTTGTTTGTCCTTTGTTTTCAAAGAGGACCAATGACATCATAGGGTGATGTCTTGACTTGCATATGAATTGGATTTAAGTGAGGCAGAGCTGTACAAAGTCATCAGCCTCACCCTCTCTTCCAACATACTGAAGTCCAGTGGCAAAACAGAAGTCAAGATGACTAACAATGGCTCAAGATGTAGTGGATGACCTTGGCATCTTTGATGTCTAACCAAGTGTTCCACAGAGCCTGCTTCAGCCACCTTCATGGACATTGGAACAAATTGTTCTCATCTGCCCGTGGAATCATCAGAGGAAGTCTTCTGCTTGGGGTAGACAACCCCCTAACTCACTGACAAGTTTGACACCCATTGATTACCCTCAACCTGGTTTAGCCTGTCTGCCAAAATAATTTACCAGGGTAGGGCCACTGCCTGTGCTATAGCTTCTTGGAAATACAGGTGAGAGTTGGGTGACAGGTGGACACCAAAGGTGGATGAGCAGCCTTGAAAAGGGCTCGGCAAGACCTTACATCAGAGGTGCTAATCCTCCCTGAACACCCCATACATAGCACCTACTCCCAGGGATGTTTTGGGGATCAAATGAAAATATATAAAGCGTATATTTTCATATGTAAAGCAGATATGCAAATCACTTTGCAAACTTTAAAGCTCTATATACATGTAAGCTATTATTATTATCTCATCTGAACAGCATATGTTGATGGGCTGTTAAGTGAATCTTTGCAAAGGTTTGACCTTGAAACTTCTGTGAACTATATCAATATAATAAAAATGACAATACTATCAGAGTTGATTTACAGATTTATTTTTATATCAACCAAACTACCAAAAAAAGATGCTTTACAGAAACAGAAAAAATAATGACAATGTTCATTTGGAGGAACAAAAGATCAAGGATATCAAGGGAAATCATAAAAAAGGTAGGAATAAAGGAAGAATAACATACTTCCATACCATAAACTATATCATAATGCAGCAACTACCAAAACCATTTGGTATTTTTTAAGTAGAAAAGAACATCAGTGAGTAAATAAGATAGAGGAGAATCAGAAATAATGGAATTCAATAACTCAGTATTTGATAAACCTAAAACATCAATTACTTGTGAAAAAACTATTTCATAAGAACTTCAGAGAAAACAGAAAAAGCAGTCTGGCATAAATTAAAGCTTAGTCCAACATCTTACACCATATTCCACAATAAATTCAAAATAGATACTTTACTTAAATATTATCTCAAAAAAGGTTTGGTATGTAAGATATATAGACAACTAACAGAAATATATAATACCAGAACCATTTCCAACAAAATAAGTAATTAAAGAAAATGAACAAACAGTTCTAAAAAGAATTGCAACCAACACGTTTAACCAGGCCAAACTTCTGACGACCTAGTCTACTTTTTCCCCTCTACTCTAGTGGACACAGAAGATGCCTCCACTCTGACAGGTCCCTCCTCCAATTAGGTGTATTCTTCCCTGCAATCTCAATTGGAGAAGTTTTGATACCAGCCATACTCACTTCTAAACTAGGTCAGTTCCCAACACTCTGGATTACTTTACCAACTTGTCCCCATGTGGTAGAACCTCCTCTTCCCACCCTTTCCAGATCTCTTTTATGCGTTGTCTACATTAGAAATAGAGACTAGGGCTCTCTTCCGGTTCTCCACCGTGGCGCAAGATCAGGGTGAAAGGAAAACCCCAT